GTAGGGTACTCACCACGAGACTCTTTATGATCTTCCGATTTCATCCAAAATTGAAGAGCCCGACCTTGCAGGTGAGATTTAGCGATGCTAACCTGGTGGGATTCAGGGATATGACATGATTCAAAATAGTCATCTAGTTGCCTAGCTCATTCCCTAAAGTAGTAAGTGTCCGAGGAATCATCAAAGGTGAGTAGACGGTAGGGTGACTCTAAGTGAGGTCGTGGAGGCCTAGGCTCAGGTCTAGGGTGATAAGCTGAGTGGGGCATGTAATTAGAGTGGGGATAGTCAACGGGTTTCTCCGTCATAATTTTAGTCGTAGTGTCCACTAGGTTAATGATGTTATCTAAACTCTTTTGGAGTCTTATCGGATCCATTGGGAAGCGTCAAGTGACACTCAAAGATGGTTGGGTGTAAGGGGCGTCATTGAGACAACAAGTAGGCTCACTTAAACTCACTAAAGGGTGCAAAAATTGTTCGGACAGCAAGCTACGCTAGTGGGTTAAGTAACCTAGGCACTTAGGAAGGTTGTTAAGTTGAGGACAGCATCTAAAAGCTTAAGAAACTAGCCTACAATTCACTAGATGTGTGCATGAATGATGTGGACAGCAATCTACAGCAAGGCATAGAGTGGTCCAAGTGTTTAGGAAGGTTTCTAGAGTGTGGACAGCATCTAAACACTAGCTTAGGCTAATTAGTGGACAGCATCTAGTGTCCACTAATTGTTCCAGGAAAATTTGGACAGCAGCTTATACTAATGGTGTAAGCACCATAAGCACTTAGGAGAGTTGTAGACTTGATGGTAGCACTAAGACACTAGTGAAAATGACTTAAGCTCCACTATATGCGCGCAGGAAATGCATGGACAGCAAGCAAAAACAGAGAATTACAGCTATCTAAACAATGATATGCATGCGAACTTTTAGACCAAAGTTTGGCTAAACCCTAGGATGTTTTCTAGCATGCATAGCCTATGCTAGCCATGCTCTGATACCAAGATGATGTAAAACCACATGCAAAAGGAGCTTGATAAGAAATTTAAGAATAATTGACAATGAAATCTCAAATAATAACTTATTGAAATAACAAGCAAATTCATTAAAGAATC